AACCTAAGTAAATGATTTACAACAAACTTGTTAATACAAAAAAAAAAAAGTTCAGTCAAATCAAGTAATACTAGAACTTCAATAGAAGGTCAAAAACAAAGACAGACTATACATTAAGGATGAAATACAGACAACTAAAAACCTTCAGAAAATTAGAAACATTTCATCTTCATCAATAACAATAAATATAAATTTAATAACAAAATATCAATTTTACTAATAAATTAGCCAAACTTGTTTATAATAATAAAACACATAGTAAAATAAGATTCTCTCTCATACCTGTTGGTGAAATTACAGATCAGCATAACCTCTCTACAAATTTTTTAACAAAAAAAAATTATACAGCTACAATCAGAACCATAAAAATGTTCATATTCTTTGATTCAATTATTACCATTGTTAAAATTTAACCAGAGGAAAAGATCAAAAATTCATACTAAAATCTTTGTCACACATTCTGACAACAGCTTTATTTTAATAGGAGGGGAAAAAAAACTGAAGATAACCTAAAAGTTGCTAATAGGGGGATATGTAAGCAAATCATACTATATAATTCAGTAGAATAACCTTTCAGTACAAGAATTTTGGCTGCTTACCAATATTAGAAATTTTAATGACTTCAAAAAGTAAAAGCAGCAGGCAATGAAATTGTATGCAATATACTTTAAACTATGTAAGAGAAAACATTTAGGAAAAAGAGAAGAATTATACCAATGCTAAAAGAGGTTGCATTTTTATGCTTTACTAAATTTTCCAGAATAATTCTTTCACGCTGAACATGTACTACTTTTCTAATCAGAAAAAGTCAAAACTTAGGTATTGTGATTCAGGATGTGCTGCCTTAAGCTCCTTATCTCTGCTTTCTAAATAAAATTTTCTAACAAAAATTAGTAGATTTGGTAACTTGATTAAAACCTGTTATAAGAAAATATTGGAAATGTAATAAAATGATAAAATGGAATGTTTTTCCTTTTATAAAAAATTAATCTGTATCTTGTGACTAAGAACTAACATATCGAAAATTGAATCTTATCATACAAACTACTTGATGACACAGGTCTGAACTATACAAATCATGCACTAAGATTCAAAATACAAGAAAACCCATTTAACAGTGAAAATTCAAAGATCACAGATTTTAAACCATGACTGACTTCCTATTTTTGTTGTAATGCTGGAAAGGACTAGCCACAGGATAAACAGCCTAACTCCAAATCAATGGGCAACCATGTCAAATAAAGGCTGAGGTGAAAAAGCAATCCTTAGATTAATGCAAGCCACTTAGGTACTAACTCACATACTGCGTTGCATTAACTTTAGTGTTTGATTATCTTATTACACCAAATCTATAAAGTCCTGGAAGGATTGTTTATCATGCATTTTTTGTTTTGTTTTGTTTTAATTTCTCCTTCAGTGCTAGGTGGAGAACAAGGGCTTAAAAAATATTTGATTAAGGGAGGAACTAAGTAAGTAATAGGTAAACAAAGAACAAAATAAAAGGAATGTGAACCTACCTCTAGTTCCAGAAAAAACACATGAAAAGTACTTTAAAAAGGAGTATTTTTTTCAAGGCCAAATCATGGTTTCATTTCATCTTATTTGAAAAGCACGTAACATTACTAAAATGATGTCAGAAGAGATGAAGTATAAGATGAGGAAAATGAAGCACAGAAAAATCAGGTATCAATCTCTGGTGAAGGGTCACAGGCTCAGGAAATGGTTAAGTATTACATAATGGGCTGCCAGATAGAAGACATGAAAATCTGTTGCCATCACGTCAATTCCAACGCAAGGTGACCCTAATGGTGCACAACAAAACTGCTGCACAGAGTTTGGCAGTGTAGTGCCTAAGGCATTTGACTGTTAACCAGCAGGCTGTCGGTGCAAACCCACCAGCCACTCCTCGGAAAGAAGGTTGGGCAATCTACTTCCGTAGAGATACTGCCTCAGAAACCAAAGGAGGGGTCACTATGAGTCAGATCTGATTCGACGGCAGAGTTTGGTTTAGATTTTTTTGACCTTTCAGAAACAAGGCTGTCAGGCCTTTCTGTCATGGCAACACTGAGTGGGTTTGAACCACCAACCTGTAGGTAAGTAGTTGAACATAAGCCACCAACATGACACCCAATTAATTTGAATTTCAAGTAAATAACTTAAAACACATAACTTTTTAGTGTATGTATATCCAAATACTGTAGAAGACTTACTTCTTCTGGTTAACCCTAGCATCCCTGTTAGGTAATATTGTGCAATCTACAACCTCAGTTCCCAAATCCATAAAATGCAGGAATCAGACTAAATCAGTCCTATGCTTTCTTCTAGTTCTAAAATTCATTGGTTCTAAAATTCCCTAGAATTCTGGTATTTTATAAAGAATTCAACATATCCCCAGGATAATGTTCAGGTAAACCAACAGCTTCTAAAGTCCTTCAAAGAATCTTTTTAGTCCCTGAAAATAGGCATTTTTTTTCCTAAGGTCTCTTACTTTACACTACACTACACACTCATGAGATAGGTGTATGATTCCAGATTTCTTTTTTTTTATAGCCAATCATGGAATTACTGGAAAGAATCAAACTATGATTCAAAATTAACAGAGATAATAAATACTGTCTTCAGTCCAAAAAGCAAAGCTTTTAGTGAGTGCCTGTGTTACAGTATACAGAATTCATTTCCCCTGCTTTTCCAAAGTTCACTTTATGCCACTTTGCTTTTATGAAATACCTACATTAATATCTGTTTTCACTAAGTGAAAGAAATCCAAAGAGGATTTTCACTTTTATGAAAAAAGGTGAAAAGTAAAACCAGTATTTAGAGTTTGTTTTGCAGTGAGTTGTTAGAGGCAGCGTGCATCTGAGCACCAAGAATGGCATCACCAAGCTCCTTCCCCAGAAGTTATACTCAGCATCTCAGCACTAAGGCTGCCAAACCTTTGAACTATTTCAAACATACAGTGTTTGTGAACACTATACGGTAGTGTTATTTTAGGTTTTATATGTTATATGGTGGGGTGATAGGGTATTTTGGGGGTCTAAGAAAGCTCAAAAATTTTTTCCTATATAAATTAATAATCACTGGTTTTTCACGTTACATCATTTTGGCTTACAAAAGGTTTCATAGGAATGCTCTACTTTCTGATAACAGGGGAAACCTGTATATCTGTCAGAAGTTTATAATTTAGATAAAACCTACAAAATAAAACAATTAGAGAACCAGATGGAACTGTAGAATGTTTTGCATACTTTGCTTAACTGGAGTTACAAATGGCAAAACCTGTATATTGCCCAAATGTTAAGCCAATCCTAATGACATTAGGATTAGGAGCTCTGGAGGTGTTGTGGTTAATGCATTGGACTGCCAGCCAAAAGATCAGTGGTTCTAACCCACTAGCTGCTCCACAGGAGAAAGATGAGACAGTCTCCTTTCACAAATATTTACAACCTTGGAAACCCAGTTCTGCTGTCCTATATACACTAGGAGTCAGAATTGACTTCGTGGCATTGAGTTTGGAGTTTTGGGGTTTGTTTTTAGGCTTAATGGTATCAGGAAATAAGAGCCTTAATCCATTAGCAAGTGGAGAGTAGAAGTAGTCTACCACCTAGGGGGCTGGAGGGAAAGCTGGCCAATTACCTATGTATATATATAGCCTTAGATGGGAGCTCTAGTAGCGTAGTGCCTAAGGCACTTGCTGCTAACCAGAAGGCTGGTGGTTCAAACCCACCAGCCACTCCTTGGAAGGAAGATGGGGCAATCTACTTCCGAAGTGATACTGCCTCGGAAACCCAAGTCAGTCTGACTTGATGGCACATAACAACAACAACGTAGCCTTAGATATCCTCTCTCCCAGCCATGTTTATTCAGTCAATACAACTGGATTTCTCCTTTTTTGGTCTCCTGGAAGGAAAGCACTGACCTAAACCAGAGCCTATTTGATGGTGGGGATGGGGGGAGGGGGCGGTTCATCACTGAGTCCAGATTTTGCCAGCTCCCTCCCACTAAAATTACACGCTGTACTTTATAATCCACAGCTTCAGGTGGAGTCATTAACAAAAGTAGTTTACCAGACTCATGACTCCAAACCACAATGCTTATAAATCTACTACAACCATTGAAATCTATTATTTCCTAACATTCCACTCATTTGGTGGTATTTTCTTTTTAACATTAATAACGATTCACATCTAAGTTTGTCATTACCCTCTGAATGCTTATTTTGGATTTCTGACTATTTCCAATAGGGCAATAGATAGATAAATAGATAAATGCATTTTTCTAGGTTTAATTTCACTCAACCTACATTTTCTCTTCTTCTGACCCAGCCCTACATTACATGCAATAGCTACAATAATAACACAATAAGTGTCTCCTGTTTTTCCTATTCACTATGGGCAAAAGTTCTACCCGACTATATTTCATTTTTAAAGTTCTCACATTATGTTTAAAACCCATTAATAACAAGAGTAGATTCTTTCTTTGCAAAAACCAGTACCATAATTCATGCTTCCCTCAGCAAAATCTTTGGCCTATCTTTGTCACTTCTTATTTGGGATATGACAGCATATTTTCCTTCCATCTCCTAGACATCCCATAGACAGTCACTATTTACAATTATGATTATACTTAAGAATAATTTTCTTAGAAAAGAATAGGGTATCAGTAACAAAATCTACCAAAATATTTCCTGCAGCACATTCATTTAAAAGGATTAACTGACTCAGTTTTTTAAATTACAAAAAAACAATATAAATTGAGCAAATATAGTTATTCATTTCTTCTTTGAGGTCTTTTTGTTAAATAAAACTGGAAAAATAACTAAATCAATAAAACAAGATTATTGTATTGTTAAGTCTGCATATCTTATCTCTTACATCAATCTTAAAAAACAGGAGGCTGTAACTCCTAATTAGTAAGTATAGTTCTAAAAATATACATCAGTTCTTTGAATCCTCTGGACTTTAATATTCATTTATCAGTTTAAAAAACATATGACAAAATACCCAGATAAGGAAGACGTGATGTCCTGCAGATGTCCTTTTCTTGGAGGGTCATCTCTCGGGCCTTCATCCTGTGACTTTTCTCTCCTATCTCCTGGGATACATCCGTAGTCAACACTGCTACTGGTTTCTAATGGCTTTTGATATGAATGTGTCTTGCCTCCTTCTTTCCTGTCAGATCGACTCCATGATGATAAACATTCTTCACTGTTCTCTGTGGGTTTTCGAAAACCACAACGTGAAGAACCCTGAGCTACCAATGTTGAAGATGAACTCAATGGTTCAAAATTTCTGCCCTTGCTATTAAACGACAGGTCTTCATCATCAGAGGGTCTTAAGAATTTAGTCCTAAAATTTCCAAGAGAAGAAAATTGTTGATTTTGTCTTGGACTGTATTCTCTTCTACATGCTTCCAAAGATCTGGCTCGATTATCTTTTTGATTACCACTTAACTTATCTTTATTAATACTGTTTGTACTGTCTGTTCTATCACATGTATCCTTTGAAATTGTATTATCTTTTACCAAGTCTGATTTTCTACTTTCTTGACTACTTTGTGCTTTATCTGAATATGTTGGTTTCTTCCATCGTTCTTGTCTAGAATCTTTTCTGGATGCAGTTTTTTCAGCTTCTTCTAATTTTGACTGAAATATTTCCATTGACTGAAAAAAAGAAAAACAAAATAACTAAAATTAAAAATAGTTCCAGTGACTTTTCCCCCATATGCCATTTGCCATGACCCCTGTCATCTGTCACAATGAAAGAAAAGCCCACCAAGTAAAATTTTAAAAAGACCCACACAATCATCCTACTCCAAACTTGATATTTAAAAAACTATGAATGAGCAACTAAAAATTACTAAATAACAAAAAAAAAAAAAAAAAAAATCTAAGACTTCAAAAGGGGAACCACTTGCAAAGAATTATACAGAAAACAGTAGAGATATATAATTAATTTTAAATAATTAATTACAATTGTCAATGAGATTCAAAAAGTTACCACACTGCTAAAACAACAGACTCACATGAAAAAAGGAGCAGCTCAAGAACAAGAAAGGCTTACAAATGAAAGTGCCCACCCTAAAAGCTGCCCAGATACACTGAAAAGAATGGAGAGTATTGAAAAAGAAATTAGTGAGTAAGTTCTTTATCCTTTAGAAAAAGATAGTAAACAGATGCAATTACTAAGGCAGACTGACACATGGACAACTGAGACTAGACAATCTAATATGTATGTACCAGTACTTCCAAAAAGGCGGAGCAAAGATTATGAGGAAAAAAAGCATTAATAATGTAAATAATATTTTTTCAATTTCCCCTAGTTGAGTTTCTAGATCAGACAGGGTTCACCCAATAGTCCTAGAACCTTTTGAGGGTGGGGAGTGGGGAGCAAAGAAAAATCTATATAAAAATACCCTCATTCCTGAATGTCAAAAACCAAGAAAAAAATTCTTCAAAAAAACCAAATCAGGGAGAAAATGTGCGAATGTGTATATACATACAGAGATAGACGACACATTATTTCCAAAGGAAAGAAAATAAACCTGCTACTAGCTATCATCTACAATATTAGAAGAAAATGAAACAAAGATAAAATTTTGAAAAATATTGTAAGTCTAATCCAAAAAACTAAACACATGCCATCAAGTCAATTACAACTCACAGTGACCCATACTGGGTTTCCAAGGATATAAATCTTTACGGAAGTAGATTGCCCCATCTTCCTTCTGCAGAGCAGCTGGTGGGTTTGAACCATTGATTTTCTAGTTAACAGCCAATTGCCTTATGCACTATGCCACCAGAGTTCTTTATTATGAATCTATAATTCTATACATACAATTCAATTCACAGCCAGACTATCCTTCTCTGATGTGGGCAAAATTAAGTCATTTTCAAAAATGCAAGAAATCATAAAGCATATCACTTACTAATTTCTGCAAAAAAATTACTCAAGATGATTAAAATAAACCAAATATGGATCAAGGTAAAGATCTCTGAAAAAAAGAAGACATGCTACAGACAAATAGCAAATTTAATAGTTAAGTCTAAATAACTGTTCTGATAGTTGTGAAATATAATGTTATCATCAAAGAAAAGACACATTTTTTTTTTAATTTATAATAAACTAGAACTAAAATTCCAAATCATTTCAATAAAATCAGAGGTGGAGGAATCAAACTATGTTAAAATTCTTATTTTGTGATAAAGAGAGAAATTATATAGTACTTCCTATTTTATATCATTTAAAAATATATATATTTATATATGTGTCTTAAATTTAATGATAACATGAAGTAGATTTCAATAAAAAGATATTAATGGAGGGAAAAAAGGAGAGAGAGAGATTCAATATTGTGCCATTTCAAGTTGCAGCAAAAATAATTCACGCAGCATTCTATAAACTAGGTAAAGACTTGGAAGTTGAATCCCTACTTTACACCCATACATATATATATAGTCCAGAAAAATTAAAGATAAAAATAAATAAATTTATTATGAACAAGTATTCATAATAAATGTTGATACGTTCCTTGGAATGGGAAAGACCTAACAACAAATTACACCAAGAGTATTAAGTCATGGAAGAAAATCCTAATGGGTTTTCTAGGTAAAAAATACTTAAAACTTTTCCACAGAAATATAAACAAAGTAAAAAAACAAACATGAAAAAAAGGGGAAAGTTGACTAGATTTATTTAAAAATACAAATATAGATTTGTATATATTTTATCAATATATATATATTGTATTTCTATATACTGTGTGTAAATATATATACAAACATATATAGATTTAAGCAAATCAATAAGGAGCCCTGGCGGCACAATAGTTAAGCACTTAGCAGAGAACAAAAGGTTGGTGCTTCAAACTCACCCAGCGGCCCTGTAAGAGAAAGACCTGCATATATACAGGTCATATATCTAACATAGAACTCAATGGCTGCTCTCATAAAGATTACAGCCTAGAAAACTCTATGGAGCAGTTTGACTGTTACATAGGGTCATTATGAGTCAAAATCAACTCAATGGCACTCAACAACAATAAGTAAATCACTATCTGCTCCTTGCCTAAAAAATAAGTACATAATATAAACAGTCACTAAAAAAATAAGCGGCAAAAACCATATGAAAAAAAGTAATCCAATTCACTAGTAATCAAATGAATATAAATAAAAAGAAAAAAAAAAGCACATTTTTTTTAACCAATCACAATAACCAGACTTCATAAAGAATGATAATCCTAAATTTGACAATTATAAGATGAAAGAGGCGTTTTTCAAAATGAGTATAATATACACAATTTTCTTACTACAAATTTGGCAATATATATCTGACCTTAACTATCCATATCCTTTAAACCAGCAATTTCACTTTTACTAATTTATCTCAAGAAAATCACAAAATTATACAAAATGCATTTGAAAAAGATGTTCAGCAGAGTGTTATTTAAGGAGAGGGGAAAAAACAAACTCACTGCCATCGAGTTGATTCCGACTCACAGTGACCCCAACTGGATTTCTGAGGTTGTAAATCTTTACAGAAGTAGATTTCCTCAACTTCCTTCCAAGGAAGGTTAGCAGCCTAATGCCTTACCCACTACACCAGTGGTGGTGACCAGAGTTGAGTGACACATAAATGTCCATCCACTGACAATAAATTAATAAATTACAGTACAATCATACAAATACTGGAAAATATTAAGAAGTCATTAAATGTATATCTATACTTAACTTTCATCAAACTATATATTAGTAAGTAAATGAAGCTAGATATATCATATGAGCCTACTTTTACAAAAATGTATCATTCAAATGTACATAACAAATTTTTTGAAACCTGGAAAAATACACACTTAAATGTTGGCAAAGATGCTCTTAGGATGAAGGATGTTTTACAGAGCAAATTCACTTTCTATACAGCAGCTCACATGCACTCTGTCTCATGACACTGACTACAATTTACCATAATGCAACAACTCCCCTCCCACTTCCTTCCCATAGTTACCTCTTCCCTATGTCCTTCCCTCCCATGCACTCCTGCCCCGACCTCTCTTTACATACACGGCCCTTCTATTCTCCCATGACTGTTCTCTCCAAAGAGTGTATCTACCTAATGTAAATGTTCAGCTCATATGCCTGTCTTTTGTTTGGATGGCAGCCAAAGGAGTAGGTTCAATTCCAGACCTGAAGGGCCCCCTAGGGACCATAGTCTCAGGGGTTCTACCAGGCTCTATCAGACCAGCAAACCTGGTCCCCCCCTTTTTTTTTAAAATGATTTTGAGTTTTGTTCCACATTGCTCTCCCTCTTTATCCAGGATCTCCTACATAGATCCCCTTCCAAGTGGTTGACAGTGGTAGCCACACACCATCTAGCTCTTCTGGCTTCAAAGTCATATAGGCTGAAGATCACATGGTGTACCAGTTACTTGGACTAAATGTTTCCATGAATCTTTGGTTTACTTCATTCTTCTTTGTTCTGGACGAGCAAGGTTGCATCCACATGGCTGCTAGCAAGCTTTTCAGATCCCAGTCACTACTTGCCAAAGTAGAACGTGGAACAATGTTTTGTGTAGTATGCTATGCCAATTGAACTTAATGTCCACTGTGACTATGGTCCCAAGCCCACAGGTCCAACTACTCGCTCACTCTGGGTAGCTGGCTGCGGCCAAGAAGTGATTATAACCTTGTCCCTTGTCAGCTCTACTATGTATCTGGGAATTCTTACAGAACATACTAATATACTTGTAGAAACATTGTCTGCCAACCCTATACATGGTCTTGGCCACACTCCCCACCACACAGATATATCTAATCATTCAGTCTGTCCATGCATCTATTGACATGTATATCCATGCTTGCCTTCACTGGCAATGCAGCACTGTATGTGCAAAAGGGTTCATCTTTGTTGTCTGTACCTCCCACACACCTCTCTACATCTTCCTCTTCCTCAATGCCACCATGTCAATCATTCACATTTGGTACATTGCCCTTCTCTTCATCCAAATCAATTCTTGTCTCTACCTATCTAGCAGTGTTCCTTCCTTCCGCCTCCCACACCTGGTAACCAACAAAGAAAGTTTCCTTCCATACATAAACCTTTCTTTGACTTTTTTACAATAACTAATACAATATTTGTCCTTCTGTGATTGACTTATTTCACTCAGCATAATGTCCTCCAAGTTCATCCACGTTATG